CTACTCTCGCAAGCTCGCCGCACACAAGGCTTTCCTCAGGGAAAGGTATGTGTATGAAGAGGTTGGCTATGTGCGAGAGGATTTCCAGATGCTCGTCCGCGTCATCAATGAGGCTTATGGAGTGGACTTCTTCTCCTACATCCAGCGCCACGCCGGTGATCTGGAGGTTCGCCGTAAATACACGGTGCGAACCCCTGAGGGCTATTGTCTCTACGACAGTACCCTGAAGCAGCCTTTCAACGGCAGCTACCTCCTGGCGGTTCTGGAGAAAGTCTTCGCTGAGTCTGACCAGCGCGATTTCAAGTCGGCTTTCGCCCGCAAGGCAAAAGCTGACTTAGTGGCGTACGAAGACTTGAAGGCGAAGAAGGAGTCTGAGCTGAATGAGCTCCTCACCCGACCATATGACGACATTATGATTGAGGAGTTCATCGAGCGACTCCCATGTCCACAGATCGAGGAGATCGAAGAGCCTCCCGCGGCTACTCAGATGGATACCTCCGAACCGTCGTCTGGATCCACGGACTTGCCACAGGGCAAGAAGGTTGATCCGGTTAAGACCGAGCCGACCGATGTGCCAATGGAGACTGATGCTCCAGGAAGCTCTCCACAGGGAGAGGTACCTGGGGCTACTGTCGAGCCAATGGAGACCGAAGCCACGGAAAGCTCTCCACAGGGAGAGGCATCCGAGGTGAAGGTCGAACCTGATGTGCACATGGGTCAGGAAGGAGGTAAGTCCGAGAACATTGAAATGGCTGAGGAAGGCTCACCACAGGGTGAGGAATCCATGCCAGACATTTCTCCCGAGAAGGATGATGAAAGTGAACTTCACGATCAAGGCATCTGGGGGAAATGCAAGACTGTTCCGGATCCTGAGTACTACCAGGCCGCGAAGGATGCAGAGGACCAGAATGAGAACGCGTTCGACAAAATGGGCAAGGCAAAGGAAAAGATCGAGCTCGTTGATCTCGAAGAGTTCAAACATTTCCTTAATCAGCTCACCGAAATCGAACGACAAAGCCCTATGCGGATGCTCTGCAAGCAGCTGCATGGATATGGCTATTCAGGCTTGTATCATACAGGACTTCGTGATCCTGATTACGAGCCCGTTCTCGCCTACAAGGTGCAGCATATGAGTTGGAGGGTAAATGTTCCGAACCACAAGGGACAGAAATACTCTCTCTCTATGGTGGATCTATTCGACCAACTCAACAAGATGGATCCCATCTATGAGCGTCGTCCCGACAAAAAGGACGTTGTTTTTCGTTCTGGGGACGTTCGTAGCACCTTGGACGACAAGCTCATGGGCAAGGCCTCTGACATCCGAGAATCAGCACTGGATGTTATGGAAGCACTTCTTGATAAGCTGAAGTCCCTGGATGCAAGCGGCAATCCGGCAACTCGAGAAGAACTTTTGAATGCTATGCTTCACTACTTCTTGAGCACCGGAGTCGATGAAGAGGAGATCGGGGACCTCTCTCTTGAGAAGACGCCGAATCCTTATATTCATCGTTTTGGTCTGGCAGAGGACTCCAATGTCCCTATCTTCACCAGCAAGACCAAGTATGCCGCGCTCATCCTCAATCTCGGCAACATGAGCAGGGGAAGAAAGCGTTCCGCTCCTAGCTCCGTTGCTAATCACATTGACTGGGACGATGCTACACCATCTAAAGGAGCCTTGATAAAATCGATTGCACAGTCGAAGACGCATTTGTTCATGCTCTGCGAAGCGGCTAAGATCGATGACTCCGAAGAGGCCTTCCTCAAGTCACGCGGTTGGCAATTCCTTCGTAACGAGTCCAAGGACCTGATGGTGGGAAGTCGTACAAATGGTGTCGGATCTTCGATCACCCGTCTTGCCGGCTCCACTCTCAGTGGATATGCCCACGAGTCCCTTCCAATAACCTATATGGTCGCGGAAATCGTGTATGGCATGACGTTACCGACCGGTCTCCAGGGCAGTCGTGGTGATGTTCCAGATGAGTCACTGACCAAGGTCTTGGAGCGGGCTGGATCCGACCGGCTCAGAGTTTGTGTCTTCCACCTCCACAACGACGCGGCGGCAGACAAGGTGGCGTTGGCTCATGAAGTGTTGGGCAACATGTTCATCGACTGCTTGCACTACCAAGTCGACCTCATCGGTGGCGACGCCAACATGGCCCTCTACCGGGCCACCGGCAGAAAGCAGGAGTCGATGGATATTCGTGGCGGGATGTACCAAAGCCTTCTCGACTACTTCTTGGAGGCATGGTCAGAAAGCCCAAAGTGCCCACACTTCTGTTCGCCTCGTGCGAGACATGTGTCAGCAAACGCCATGTGGCTTCTGAAACAGTATGAGGACACGCTGGGAATGCCATACAAGGAAGCTAAGCAACCAGACTGGAATACTTTTCCTGGTTTGGATCCTGTTATGGCTACAGTCATGGAATGGGGACACAGCATGTCGGACGATCAATGGGCGGAGTTTCCGTCTTCAAAGACTGAGTTCGACATCCATGTCTCTGAGTGGCTGTTAAACTCCACCAGCGCCGCGTACCTTCTCAACGATCGGGACTATGACGCTCACACTCCGCTCCTCATCGAGGTTCACGCGAACCAGTACTCTGGAGGCAGGATGAGAGCGCTCAACCGCAATCCCGACACCGTGAAGGAAGCCGCGGACAGAAGAAAAGAGAGACAGAAGCTGAACAAGGCGCGTGGTTCTGGTTCTACTGGTCCTGCAGCCGCACCACAGGGAGCAAGCTCTTCTCAGGAAGAGGCAGCTTCTGGTGCTAAAGCTTCTGGTTCTCAACGTCCTCAAGAACCCGCACAACCTCCTGGTGGCAAAGAAGGCGGCAAAGGAGGCAAGTCCTCCAAAGGAAAAGGCAAGGACGCCGACAAGGGCAAGTCCAAAGGCAAGTCCAAGGACAAGTCCAAGGGCAAAAGCAAGGGAAACACTGACTAGGTTCCGATTCTTCGGATGTGGAAATGGACAATGGACTCGACGAGGTTCCTTTGGAACAAGATGATGCCGTTGCTCCTGATTCACAGATTTCGTTACCTAGATCCCCTGCTGATCCCCGCGGTTACGACCCTGTTCGCCATGCTCCGGTGATGCCGATCCACACGGTTGACATTTACCGCTGGCATGGTACTGAACATTGGCGTGATAGAACCTGGGATCGCGACATAGAGTTCATCGACTGAACTGGCAGAGTGTTTCACGGAATGCTTCTTTCAGAAGAAGGTATCCACTTGAGCATTCGTCATTTCATAGGGAGATGCTTTTCTCAGGAAAAGGTACTTCCTAAAGAACTCTTTCTCAAAGAAAGATACTTATCTCAGGATAAGATACTTCTCATGCCCTTATATATTTGCCGTGTCGCAAGATGTCATGCTGGCATCAAGTGGAGCTACGCTCTACAATCTTTTATGTGACAGTAAGCTTTCCGCCTGGAGAGGAAACTGAACACAAGTGGGCAACTTTCAAGCAAAAGTTTTCAGTTGAAGATCCGTTTGCGTTTTCGTGCGTGTTCTGCTCTTTTCATTGAAGCTGTCTTCAGGTGAGAGATGTATAGATTCTCTTCAAGTCGCAGATGTAGCTCAATACTCCGCTAATTCGACCGAGAGCAATAACAGGCTAGTTGAATGCCGACTCCACGGCCATGCAGCTCTACGTGTTTTAAATTTGTGCCTGGTTGAAACACTGAATGTTACACATCCAGGTGCCTGTCTGTTTCACGTATCACTTGCATGTATCCATGCCTGTTGCTCAAGGTTCTAGTGCAGTGGACTACAGCTGTGCGCCTGTAGCAAAAGAGACACCTGAGTGCCTGTGTTCCTGTACGCCTAGCGAGGGGATACACGTCCAGGTTACATCTCAGGGGGAGGGGGCCTGCGAGGGAGAGGCAGGCCAACAAATCAGGTAAAATGAAGGGAAGCCGGGCAAGGGGGTGGCAAAGGAATGCAAAAAACGGGTGTCCCCAAACATTTGGACCGCAGGGAGGAGGATTAGGTGGAGGGTACCTGAGGTAACCCCCAAGACGCCTGGGCCTGTGGCCTCGGCGGACTTAAATCCGGAGCCTTCCGGGGACCTCACCCATTATTTAAATTATTTAATTGGGGCCGGGAATTAAATATTTTAAATAATTTAAACAATTTAGATAATTTAAATCCTGGGGGGGGTCCAGGGGAGGGTCCGGGACACCAGGAATTAAATAATGAAAATAATGTAAATCCGGGGCCATCCGGGGCCCTCCCCCAATATTTAAATTTTTTACATTATTTAATTCCCGGGTCCCGGAAACCCCCCCGGACCCCCTCCCCAGGATTTAAATTATTGACATTATTTAAATTATGTAATTGGGGCCGGGAATTAGATAGTTTAAATAATTTAAATCCGGGGCCCTCCGGGGCCCTCCCCCAATATTTGAGTTATGTAATTCCCGGCCCCGACCCCCCCGGAAACCCCAATAGGGTTTCTTTGGAAGCGGCCTCTTGTGTACATAAGAGGGATTTAGAGTGGTTTTTCCTCATTAATACACAAAAGGCAGCTTCCAAATAAACCCGGTTTAAGCCGCACTCACCTCGTTCATGAAGCATCTTCCCCCTCCCTCCCCTCCCTCCTTGAAGGTTGCGGCGCGTGGGATAAGGTAGAGGGGGGGGGCCCTCCCCCCCTCAAGTCTCTCCCTCCCCCCCTTCGCAAGGTCCCTCAGTTTGCTTCTGTTTACAGTGTCATGTGCAGGTGAATTTCGCAACAATTGGCTAGCACATTTGCTAAAGACTACGCCTTCTCTCGAAATCTTTCAGCGCCTTGACATGTTCTGTCTCTAAGCCACCAGAACTCGGAGACAGAATCTGGCTCCACGCCTTTTTCACCAGCTACGCTTCCTTTCCCCTAGCTTTCGTCGCCCTCTTCTCAAGTTTGATTTCGTGCACCAAGACATTCGTAGACTGCAGCAGCGACTTGCCTCGTGCAGAATCGCAAGACCTTGGAGCTGTGCCTATGCCACAACGGACGCGAAATGTGCCTCATTCTCAGGTTTTTGCGCTGTGTGGGATCTTTGTTGCATCTCCGGCCAACAATCTAGCTTGCTGTGCAGGTTCGAAACTGAAAGCCAAGTTGGAGCCCTTACTTGCCGCGGAACTGAGTTGTTGTTCAGGTGGCTTTGCATTCTGTGATCAAAGGTTTCCTGGCGAGAACCAGCTGTTTACCAGCGATACGATCTGGGAGCTCGGTCCCGTGTTCACAGTGCAGGGCTGAGTCTTTATGCTTCCTTTGCTGGGAGAGGAGAGAGTGCCGGAGCCTAGGAGAATTGGCTGACCAAGCCGGTCGCTGCCCTCGCAAAGGGTCAATCTGCCAACGAACAAAGGCCATTGAGTTTCTAGGTTGCTTTTCGCAAAGAGTATCGTTGGTCACGAGGGTGCAGAACAAAGTCGCGGTCCGTGCGAACGGCACTATCATAGCCGTTGGTACGATTCTTCAGACGAACGTCAAAGAGGTGCCATCAGATGTGTTCATGCTCTCATACGTTGGCAGTTGCTGCATGATCTGGAAGGAGAAGCCTCTCAAGAGCATTGAGGACTTGGAAAGCGAACGAAAGTGCCGGGCTTGGATCTCAAGGTCTGGATGCTAGGCTGATGGGCAAAGCCGCTATGCAATAGAGATCTGCGGGATTGAATTTGCATGGAGCTCCGTCCACAACCGCGCACTACCCATGGCCAAGAATTGGGCAAAGCGGAACACAATTTCCACGAAATGCACACTCACTTGCACGGTCGCAGATCAGCTGATGTACCACTGCTTCTTCTAGTACCATGCATCCAGTCGCATATTACTCGCGGTAGTGCTTTGCTTCTGATCCTGGTCCAGGGAAGCCATGCAGACCCTTCCGACGCAGGCACCGGAGCTCAGATACAGCGTGAGAGTGGGGGTCAGAAGCAGAATTGAGTCCTGTTCCTGAAATTGCCCGCCTAAATGTTGCATGACGAAGTCGTGGCTACTGATGGCTAGACGACCGACTTCTTGAAGACGTTGCAGCGACAGCCAGGATACTAAAGACATGCCCATATCCTCTCGGTTGGTTTAGCTGCATGCAGCAAAGTCGACCGTTTGCTGTGCAGCTTCGAGGTAATGCTGATGGACGCAACCAACCCAAACAAGATGGCCACCGCCTCAGCGCATCTCAGCACTTACGAAGCAGTGCATGTTTGCCTGGCTGTGAGAGCCAGAGCTCCTGTGAGGTCGGCTCGTGTCAGATTGAGTTAGACATCATGCCCGTGGAGTACGGTGCTTTTTGGGTTCAGCCCTTCGAGGCGGGGGGCGACCGTCTGAGGGCGGTGGAGCTCAGTCGCCCGGTTGGCGGAGCCAGGGCGACAGGTTTGTCGTCGGGCTCTCCTACACCTTCGCTTGGGCGACGCACGGGGCGGCACGGGAGTCCAAGCTCGTCGATGGGGATTCGAAGCCGCGGTGTGCCCACCAAGAATCCGTTCCGAGGTTGCTGGAAGCTACTACAGCTTTACGATCGCTCTGCATGAGGTCTGGATATGAGTCTAGGCTCTGACCTGTTTTTGGAATGATCTTGCACTGCAGGTCACCGGAGAGCAGTGCGCCGGCGTCGGCAAACGGTTCACGAGCAAAGACATTGAGGTTCGCCGTGCCAAAAAACCCTCTGTTCACAGTTCTGCTGCGGGAGATGTCAGGTGAAGTGCACCAAGGATCCACGAGCAGGGCCCATGGACCAATGGAGTTGCGCTGCTTGAGGAGCGCTGCCAGCGTTGTTAGGAAGCTGGAGCTGAGGTGAAAGTTCATCGATACTACGGAGGCCACCTGCCTTGTGTCTTCGAGAACGAGGCGCGGACGACGTCTAAGGCTGAACGGACCGAGCCACAAAGGCGAGTCTCGCACGCTGTTGCAGGTTGTTTGTCCGCCAGAAGCAGCGGGAAAGACAGTGATCGACAGGCACTTAGGCAGCTGACGGCTGCGAGTTGCATTGTTCCTGTCTGCTGTTGGGTCGGAAAGAGAGTCCATGTACGAACACAGTGGGCTCTTTGGCCCTCGATTCCGAGGCACTCGCTAGCTGGCACGATGCTATGAATCTGCCGCACTTCATGGCGCGTGGGGGAAGTGCTGGGAGAGAGTTGGAGAGGGAAAGAGAGAGAGAGAGAGAGAGACAGGGAGAGAGAGAGAGAGAGAGAGAGAGCGAGGGCAGTGCGCCGCGCTGTCCTGTGGCTGTGTGCAAGAGAGAGAGAGAGAGAGAGAGAGAGAGAGAGAGAGAGAGAGAGAGAGAGACAGAGAGAGAGAGAGAGAGAGAGAGAGACAGAGACAGAGACAGAGACAGAGACAGAGACAGAGACAGAGAGAGAGAGAGAGAGAGCGAGGGCAGTGCGCCGCGCTGTCCTTTGGCTGTGTGCAAGACAGAGAGAGAGAGAGAGAGAGAGAGAGAGAGAGAGAGAGAGAGAGAGAGAGAGAGAGAGAGAGAGAGAGAGAGAGAGAGAGAGAGAGAGAGAGAGAAAGATAGAGAGCGAGAGAGAGAGAGAGAGAGAGAGCGAAGTAGAAACCGGTGAGCCTGAGGGCGCGAGGGGCGTGCGAGCGCTCCTTTGGCCGTGTACGTTCTCTACGCCTTGAAGAACAAAACAGAACAGGGAGAGAGCGAGAGATGCACGCTTCCCAAGCAAGCAAGCAAGCAAGATGCAAATAGATAGCACTCAACCGGCTCGCTGTGTAGTTCTAGTGAAGGGTGCGTTCACGACTCCCGGAAGGGTAAATTAGCACTGAAAGTCGTCATATCTTCCGTCGCGGGCATGTCGGCTGCGAAAGCACTGGACTCACGTCAGGCCATCAGAGACATAGACTCTATCCGAAGCGTGCATCCAGAGTATAAGAACTGTCACAAAGACAGGCAACATGTCACCAGTTCGCCAGTTCGAACCCGCGCAAACTGGCATTTCGGATCTGACTGGGCATTGGCGCCGAGAACGAGCAACTTCACGATTTCACAGGGCGAAAAGACGCTCTGCAGCTTCAGGGACCGTGCGAGGCCACACTGTGGAAGCACATCCACCGCCACTGGAAACAGCTGGCGGACCAAGCCTGAGCGAGGCATGCGGGTACAGGACAATCACAAGCAGACACCGGGATAAGTGGGTGGATGTCCGGCAGAAGCACTACAGCCAATCGGCTCAGGGCGAGCACTACAAAGCAATTGGGGGGATTGTACTCGAGGCCATAGGGGCACTGCTGATGCAGCCCGTCAGGGCAGTGATGGGGTTGCGATGGAACCTGGGGACCGTAAGGGAGGTTCGTTGCCAAGACATCCTGTCTGTGCCAGGAGTCCAACGCCTTCTTCTGTGACCATCCTACCGGGCGTCGGTTGAACAACCAGACGGCCCTACAGGCCCAGGAACCGGAGTCGGTGAGAGACAGAAGAGGAATCCAAGCTTTCGGGAAGAGGCTGCAACCCAGCTGGTGAAGAATGCCGGCATCTCAGTGTGTCTTGCCGAAAACGACTCCGAAGAAAGGCTGCATCTGAAGCCGAGGATGAAAGCGTGGGCTTTGGATTCGAGTCGCAAGGTCATCACGAAGGCCTCACTCGCAAGGCCATGGGCCTTCGAGACGTGCTCATGCCCCATGTCTGTGAAGGCGTCAAATTTAACTAGCAACCCTTTGGGTGTGGAGTGAATGCCGGCCGTGCACCGGTAAAATTGTGGAACGAGCAGCCTGGTGTTCCAGCCCTTGGCCTTACGGCCCTAACAACGACAAAAGACGCCCAACATCCAGCAACCCTTCCAGATGTTGGCTAGGTGCCCTGAGCAAGCTTCACCGGCTAGCTCTTCCTCAGTTGAAAGCGTGCTCCCGCGATGTGGATCACAAGGCCCACCGAACTCCAAAAGAAGCTCCGAATTCAAGACCCAGGTCCCAGGCCGAGCAGGGAAGGCCTTGCGGGGGGTTTTCAGCCGCGCCCCACGAACCTTCGCCGGCAGCCGGCCTCTCGCCTCTTGCAGAAAAGCAGCCGAGCCACCTTTCAGGAGCAGAAGGGAGCCGGACTGTCTTCGCAGAAGCTTGCAGCGTGTATGTTGGCATGTTGTGCTCTATGTGCTTTGTCACGCGCCTTGAGCACCTGCCGAGCCCAAAGATGGCAATCGCGGTAGAGGGGGCGTAAGGCGTAAGCTTCTGCTGAACTCGCATTCTAGAGCACCTGGGCTTCGAGATGGTTCCTCTCCTCTCCTCTCCTCTGCTTTGCTGTGTGCTCCTCCTGGCCCGATGCACAGAGTGCCGTGGCGCAGACGCTGGAAGAGCTCTCCAGCGCGACCCAAGCACACGCAGAGAGCTCTTTGGCGAAGCGGAGCTTGGTTTTAGCACGTCTCGATAGCCAGAGCTTCTGCCCGACCGCCTTTCGACCAGCCCGGCTGAGTGTGATGTGGACACGGCTTGCAAAACCATGGTCTAAGGCCGACAAAGCAGATCACATTTTTCCCCAAACAGGTACGGTTTGGGGTTCTCTCTTCAGAAAAAAGGTGGGCCGCGGTGGGTTGGATGGCTGGGCCGCGGCAAACTGGCTGGGCTCCCATTGGGCTCCCTTCATGTTTCCTTTCTGGGCTCCTGGGTTGGACGGGTGGAACGCGGCGAAGGACCTGGGCTCCCCTTCACTTCCCTTCATGTTTCCTTTCTGGGCTTCTGAGGGTTGGACGGGTGGGACGCGGCAAAGGACCTGGGCTCCCCTTCACTTCCCTTCATGTTTCCTTTCTGGGCTCCTGACTTGGACCGGTGGGCCGCGGCGAAGGACCTGGGCTCCCATTCATGTTTCCTTTCTGGGCTCCTGGGTTGGACGGGTGGGCCGCGGCGAAGGAACTGGGCTCCCATTCACTTCCCTTCATGTTTCCTTTCTGGGCTCCTGACTTGGACCGGTGGGCCGCGGCAAAGGACCTGGGCTCCCATTCACTTCCCTTCATGTTTCCTTTCTGGGCTCCTGGGTTGGACCGGTGGGCCGCGGCAAAGGACCTGGGCTCCCATTCACTTCCCTTCAGGTTTCCTTTCTGGGCTCCTGGGTTGGACGGGTGGGCCGCGGCAAAACCTGGGCTTTATTGGGCTCCCTTCATGTTTCCTTTCTGGGCTCCTGGGTTGGACGGGTGGGCTGCGGCGAAGGACCTGGGCTCCCATTCACTTCCCTTCAGGTTTCCTTTCTGGGCTCCTGGGTTGGACGGGTGGGCCGCGGCAAAGGACCTGGGCTTTATTGGGCTCCCTTCATGTTTCCTTCCTGGGTCCTGGGTTGGACGGGTGGACCGCGGCAAAGAACCTGGGCTATCATTGGGTTCCCTTCATGTTTCCTTTCTGGGCTCCTGGGTTGGACGGTTGGGCCGCGGCAAAGGACCTGGGCTCCCATTGGGCTCCATTCATGTTTCCTTTCTGGGCTCCCATTCAGTTCCCTTCATGTTTCCTTTCTGGGCGGGGTTGGGCGGGTGGGCCGCGGCAAAGGACCTGAACTCCATTGGGCTTTTCATGTTTCCTTTCTGGGCTCCTGGGTTGGTCTCTCGTTGGGCTCCCTTCATGTTTCCGTTTTGGGCTCTTGGGTTGGACGCGTGGGCCACGGCGAAGGACCTGGGCTCCCATTCAGTTGCCTTCATGTTTCCTTTCTGGGTTCCTGGGTTGGACGGGTGGGCCGCGCAAAGAACCGGGCTATCATTGGGTTCCCTTCATGTTTCCTTCCTGGGCTCCTGGGTTGGATGGGTGGGCCGCGGCGGGGGACCTGGGCTCCCATTCAGTTCCCTTCAATTAGTTTTTGGGCTGGGTTGGACGGGTGGGCCGCGGCAAAGAACCTGGGCTATCATTGGGTTCCGTTCATGTTTCCTTCCTCCTAGGCTCCCGGTTTGGACGGGTGGGCTGCGGCAAAGGACCTGGGCTCCCATTGGGCTCCCTTCATGTTTCCTTGCTGGGCTGCTGGGTTGGACCTGGTCTGCCGTTGGGCTCCCTTCATGTTTCCTTGGGCCGCGGCAATCCCGTTTACCTCCCTTCATGTTTCCGTTTTGGGCTCCTGGATTGGATGGGTGGGCCGCAGCAAAGGGATTGGGCTGCCAATTGGACTTCCTTCCTGTTTCCTTTCTGGGCTCCTGGGTTGGATGGGCGGGCCGCAGCAGAGGGCCTGAGCTCCCCCTTGGTTTCCCTTAAACAGCAGGCGCCAGGTATCCGGTATCCTGTCTTGCAAGGCAGCAATGCTGCAACAGTTGTGTGTTTTTCCGTGCGTGGTTTCTGCTGCAACAAGATCCTGTGGACGACGTTCTTCGTTTTGTCGGCGGAAAAAATCGTCAACGGTTTCGTGTAAAGAAAGATTTTGTTTGCGATGTAAGCCGACAAACCCCTTCGCTTTTCTTTTTGCCCTGTTTGTGCGGCAAAGTTGCCCGTCTTTCCAGTGCGACAGCCGACCGATCCGTATACTAATCTCTTTTGTGCTTCTTCCACGAACGTCTACAGCAGAGGCAAGGTATCCTGTCTTGCAAAACGGCAAGGTTGTGACACTTGCGGGAAACTTGCCACAAGATCCTGTGGACGACGTTCTTCGTTCGGTCTGCGGAAAAATCGTCAATGGTTCCGTGCAAAAGAAGATTTTCGTTCGCCTTAGAAGCCGACAAACCTCTTCGCACTTCTTTTTGCCAAGTTTGCACGGCAAAGTTCCCAGTTTGCTCCGTCCGACACGCGACCGATCCGTATACCAACCTGCTTCGTGCTTCTTCCGCAATCATCTACAGCAAAAGTCAGGTATCCTGTTTTGCAAAGCAGCAATGTTGTAACATTTAGTTGATCGAATACGACTTTCCCTGTCCTTGTATAGGTAACATGTCTAACTGTGTAGCTTAATGTGCCAATGACATGATCTTTGGCTCAAGTAATGAAAAAAGAGGTACGCTTGCAGCTTGTGTTCCTCTTCGGGCTGGGCTTCCCTTTTGGGTTTCCTTGCCTTGCCCGGCGATCCTACCCCAATATCGTTGTGCTGCTGTTGAGGGTCGGATTAACTCAGTTCCGGGAAAGTTATATGTGCGTGTGTGTGTTCTCCCTGCGTGGTTTCTGCGGAAGTAAGATCCTGTGGACGAAGTTCTTCGTTCGGTCTGTGGAAAAATTCGTCAGTGGTTCCGTGTAAAGAACGATATTTATTTTGCCTTGTAAGCCGAAACACCCCTGTGCGGTCTTCTTTTCGCCAAGTTTGTGCGGCAAAGCTCCCAGTTTTCCCCGACAGCCAACCGATCCGTAAGCCAACCTCTTTTGTGCTTCTTCCACAAACGTCTACAGCAGAGGCCAGGTATCCGGTATCCTGTCTTGCAAGGCAGCAATGTTGTAACAGTTGCGGGAAGGTTGTGTGTTCTTCCGTGCGTGGTTTCTGCGGCAGCAAGATCCTGTGGACGACGTTCTTCGTTTTGTTTGTTTGCGGAAAATCGTCAATGGTTCCGTGTAAAGGGGAACTTGTGTGTTTCTCCGTGCGTGGTTTCTGCGGCAGCAAGATCCTGTGGACGACGTTCTTCGTTTTGTCGGCGGAAAAAATCGTCAACGGTTTCGTGTAAAGAAAGATTTTTGTTTGCGATGTAAGCCGACAAGCCCCTTTGCGATTCTTTTTGCCAAGTTTGCGCGGCAAAGTTCCTACCTTTTCCCGTGTGGCAGCCAACCGATCTGTATACCAACTTGTTTTGCGCTTCTTCCACAGACGTCTACAGCAGAGGCCACATATCCTGTCAAGAAAAATAGCAATGTTGCGTGTTTTTTCCGTGCGTGGTTTCTGCGGCAGCAAGATCCTGTGGATCTTCGTTCGGTTTGCGGACAAAGCCGTCAATAGTTCCGTGTAAAGAAAGATTTTTGTTTGCGATGTAAGCCGACAAACCCCTTTGCGTTTTTTTTGCCAAGTTTGCGCGGCAAAGTTCCTACCTTTTCCCGTGTCAGCCAACCGATCTGTATACCAACTTGTTTTGCGTTTCTTCCACAGACGTCTACAGCAGAGGCCACATATCCTGTCTCGCAAAACGGCAATGTTGCGTGTTTTTTCCGTGCGTGGTTTCTGCTGCAACAAGATCCTGCGGACGACGTTCTTCGTTTTCTCGGCGAAAAAATCGTCAACGGTTTTGTGTAAAGAAAGATTTTTGTCTGCGATGTAAGCCGACAAACCCCTTCGCTTTTCTTTTTGCCCTGTTTGTGCGGCAAAGTTGCCCGTCTTTCCCGTGCGACAGCCGACCGATCCGTATACTAATCTCTTTTGTGCTTCTTCCACGAACGTCTACAGCAGAGGCAAGGTATCCTGTCTTGCAAAACGGCAAGGTTGTGACACTTGCGGGAAACTTGCCGCAAGATCCTGTGGACGACGCTCTTCGTTCGGTCTGCGGAAAAATCGACAATGGTTCCGTGCAAAAGAAGAATTTCGTTCGCCTTAGAAGCCGACAAACCTCTTCGATCACCACCCCCTTATCCTTGAAATATTGAGGGGGGGGTCACATGTTGAAATATTTCAGCGCTTCTTGCCAGAACATCAGCAGCTTGATGTCCAAGGGGGGTTTATTTCAGGGGTCAGGGACTGCTCCGGATGTCCAGAGCGTTCTGAAATATTTCAGGCCCCACCGGAGATCGGCACTGAAGACTGCCTCGAAAGCTCGAAGAGCAATCACAAGCATCCTGAAAAGCGCAGCCCGGTGCGATCCTCCTGCTGGGGCCGCATCGGGCGGATACGGGAGCAGGCATGAGCATCAAAAAGCCGGCAGGGCCTAGTATGGGCGAACCATCGGCATGTCCCCGCCTCATGCCACAAGGTTTGCTGGAATGGGCAGAATATGGGGGGATACACGTGCATGCAGGCATCAGAAAGCTGGCAGAGTATGATGAGCCAGCAATGTGCGGCTCTGTGCAACTCACTCCTAGAAAGTCTTTCCGTGGCTCTTCGGCAGATGGCTGGGGGGAATGGGTTGCTGGGCGGGGTTGTGCACTGCCCCGGTAGTGTTCTGCTTAGCGGGGCGGGGTCCAAACATGTCTGCGTGTCATGATGTCACATCCCAACGGCCCCCTGAAATTTCACGGATGTCAGACCCCCCCCATTTCAGCAGTTTGGAACCATGCGTGTGAAATATTTCAGGCCTGGGAGAGGGGGGTGGGGGATGTCACACCCTCCCCCCCTTAAGAAGGTAGTGATCCTCTTCGCACTTCTTTTTGCGAAGTTTGCACGGCAAAGTTCCCAATTTGCTCCGTCCGACAGGCGACCGATCCGTATACCAACCTGCTTCGTGCTTCTTCCGCAATCATCTACAGCAAAAGTCAGGTATCCTGTTTTGCAAAGCAGCAATGTTGTAACATTTAGTTGATCGAATACGACGTTCCCTGTCCTTGTATAGGTAACATGTCTAACTGTGTAGCCTAAATGTGCCAATGACATGATCTTTGGCTCAAGTAATGAGAAAAGAGGTACGCTTGCAACTTGTGTTCCTCTTCGGGCTGCGCTTCCCTTTTGGGTTTCCTTGCTTTGCCCGGCGATCCTACCCCAAAATTGTTGTGCTGCTGTTGAGGGTCGGATTAACTCAGTTGCGCGGCAGCAATCGCTGCACCATTCGCCGCCGTAGACATGACTTAGGCCGACAATGTGATAGGAATTACGCACAGCAGGGTTGCGTGGCTCATAGACACAGCATCCAGAATAGTTGCAGTGAAGGGCAGTTTTACCTGGCTCACAAGAGTGCGGCGCCAGCGGTGGGCTGCTTTTGTCAGAGTTTGCGCTTGCACAGGCTGCGCAATATCAGCGCAGCAACTTCGGAACAGCTAGCCTGAACGTGGCACTTGCGATCCACAGTGCAAGCGTATAGGATAGGCTGCCCGGGTGCACCAGGAATTAAGTCATCGAACACAAACTGGTGCTTGACATTGGCTTGGCACAATACAAGAAAGAGCAGGCAGGGAAGCGGACAGGGGGAAAGGCAGAGGAAGAGCCAGGGGCCTAAGAACCCAAACCCGACCATCCGAGTAACCAGAACTGCCACCAAGCACGTGCATGTAGTGAGCTGCAGTCCTGTTGTTACGATTCCGATTCCTAGGCATCACTGGCAACCATGTGCTAGCAAGCACAGATCAAAACGTCGAGCCGAAACTCGGGCCCGCAGCCCGGTCTGCCTCATGCAGCGCTCTGGCTTTGGCCATCGTGGCCGCTGTGAGAAGAAGCAGGAGCCGAGGTGCTTCTGAAGAAGTGGCTGAGCTTTCGCTGCTTCCTAGTGGTTTCTTCAGGCTTCCATGCTTCCCAGTCCTCAGGAAGAAGATAGCCAGCGTCCTCTAGTTGATCCAAGTGTTCAGGCTTGGCGCCAGCACGTGAGCCCACTGAATAGGCAATGAGGACGAAGCGATTGCCAAGCCATGGCATACTGCCATGAAGTAGGCGCCGGCTGTCAAAAAGGACAGCACGGCCGGCCGTGTCATGGCAGGTGCCAAGATACTTGACCCCCTCCAGGTCCATCCATGTGTCTCCAGCATTATCCTGAACCCACAGCTGTCCCGGGTCATGGTGCGAGAGGCCAACCAGAAGGCTAGCATCTGTAGCATTGTTGACATCGTAGTGCGGTCGCGTGGAGTTGTCCAGGCTAATGCTGAGTGAGGTCCATTTGTGCGTCGGAGCAATGGCATGAATCAGACTGTTGAAGACCCGGCTCGCCGCCACATGCATGGCAGTGGCTTTGGACGGACCGCACAGTCCACCTTTACAGAACAAACCCAGGCGGCAAGTCGTACCTGAGGCTATGTCTCGAGCGTCCAATTCAAAGCTTAGGGCACGTGCAACCTCACGAGCAGCAGACCATGAAGAGCCATGACCCTCATCGAGAAAGGCAGCAGCCACGAGTTCCGCATCCGTCTGAGGCTGTAGGCCGACTGGAGGTGGGAAGGCCACAATGCCATCGTGCGCTTGCAGGTACCCCATGCGATCCACTTGATGCCAGAATTTGGCCCTGGCCGCATCGTCCAGCACCAGCTGTGCTTCTTGCACTAGCTCATTGCGTGTAGCCGAGTGTAGCCATGGTGATGGCTGGTCGAAGTCCGTGTGTGGAAGGCAGGAGATCACGCAGCAGTGAGAGGAGCATGGCTTCTTCCTGAGCCAGCAAGCTATATATATATATATATATATATATGTGTGTGTGTGTTCTCCGTGCGTGGTTTCTGCGGAAGTAAGATCCTGTGGACGAAGTTCTTCGTTCGGTCTGTGGAAAAATTCGTCAGTGGTTCCGTGTAAAGAACGATATTTATTTTGCCTTGTAAGCCGAAACACACCTGTGCGGTCTTCTTTTCGCCAAGTTTGCGCGGCAAAGCTCCCAGTTTTCCCCGACAGCCAACCGATCCGTAAGCCAACCTCTTTTGTGCTTCTTCCACAAACGTCTACAGCAGAGGCCAGGTATCCGGTATCCTGTCTTGCAAGGCAGCAATGTTGTAACAGTTGCGGGAAGGTTGTGTGTTCTTCCGTGCGTGGTTTCTGCGGCAGCAAGATCCTGTGGACGACGTTCTTCGTTTTGTTTGCGGAAAATCGTCAATGGTTCCGTGTAAAGGGGAACTTGTGTGTTTCTCCGTGCGTGGTTTCTGCGGCAGCAAGATCCTGTGGACGACGTTCTTCGTTTTGTCGGCGGAAAAAATCGTCAACAGTTTCGTGTAAAGAAAGATTTTTGTTTGAGATGTAAGCCGACAAACCCCTTTGCGTTTCTTTTTGCCAAGTTTGCGCGGCAAAGTTCCTACCTTTTCCCGTGTGGCAGCCAACCGATCTGTATACCAACTTGTTTTGCGTTTCTTCCACAAACGTCTACAGCAGAGGCCACATATCCTGTCTCGCAAAACGGCAATGTTGCGTGTTTTTTCCGTGCGTGGTTGCTGCGGCAGCAACATCCTGTGGATCTTCGTTCGGTCTGCGGACAAAATCGTGAATGGTTCCGTGTAAAGAAAGATTTTTGTTTGCGATGTAAGCCGACAAACCCCTTTGCGTTTTTTTTGCCAAGTTTGCGCGGCAAAGTTCCTACCTTTTCCCGTGTCAGCCAACCGATCCGTACACCAACCTGTTTTGCGCTTCTTCCACAAACGTTTACGGCAGAGGCCACATATCCTGTCTTGCAAAAGCAAAACGGCAATGTTGTGGGTGTTTTTTTCCGTGCGTGGTTTCTGCGGTAGCAAGATTCAATGGATCTTCGTTCGGTCTGCGGAAAGAGTCGTGAATGGTTCCGTGTAAAGAAAGATTTTTCTTTTGTGTTGTAAGCCGACGCACCCCTGTGCGCGCTTCTTTTCGCCAAAATTGCGCGGCACAAAGTTCACACTTTTTTCCCGTGCGACGGCCAACCGATCCATATAGCAACCTCTGTTGTGCTTCTTCCTCCAATGTCTACAGCGGAGGCAAGGAATCCTGTTTTGCAAAACGGTAATGTTATGAAAATTGCGGAGAAGTTCCTGCGGCAACAAAATCCTGTGGACAATGCTCTTTGTTCGGTCAGCAGAGAAAACGTGAATGGTTCCGTGTTAAGAGAGCTTTTTGTTTGTCTTGTAAGCCGACAAATCCCTTCCTACCTTTCTTGCCAAACATGCACGGCAAAGTTCTCGTTTTCTTCCCGTCCGACAGCCAACCGAAGCGGACACCAAGCTCTTTTGCACTTCGTCCGCGAACGTTTGCAGCAGAGGCCAGGTATCCTGTTTTGCAAAGGCGGCAACAATGTGGCAGTTGCGGGAGAAATGTGCATGTTTTCCGTGCATGGTGTTGCAGCAAGATCCTCTGAACGATGCTCCCTGGACCCTCCCAAAAACCTTCCCACATGCTTGAGTCCCACCACCCACTCTTCTTTCGCAGAAATATGTCGCCCAATGCCTAATTCTTCTTCGCAAAATCTGCTGGCGAAGCCAGATTGGGATCCAACACATTCCAACTTGAACCGGTATGATTCGATGCATTCTGTTTGGGGTCTTCGCTGGTGTAATTGTCGACACCTCGTGCGTGCAGAGTTGCGGATGCAGGCTCGCAGAGCTTTCCGCTCTCTGGCGAAGCACTGTCATGAAAAGCCGCTGAAGTGCGCTGTTCCCGTTGGTTCGTGCGGGTGCCCTTACAACCATCTCCGTGCTCGTGCAGGTACAGCATTGGGGCCGGAATAAATTACATTCAGCTCGTGAAGAACATCCCATACGCAGGAGGAGCCATGGGCACGGGTCGGAAGCTTACAAACCACGCAAGTGCTGACGTGATTGTACTTGACCACGCCAAGTAGGCAAGCTTGGTCGAATGTTTGTTGAGGTGACGGTACTTCCAACCCCATGTCCGGTCATTTTACACCGGATGGAAGTTATGTGTCCAACCCATACCAGCTTTGGCGCCTAGGGTCGCTGCCTCAGAAGGCGGTAGATTTCGGCGTCGATTCTTCCGGTCGTTCCCAGAGCCGGCTGAGGGACGATGCTGAACATCGCAAGCGATTGAGCGACCTGCTTCCTGAAAGTGTCCGGCACTTGCTGGGCCACAGGTATTTCAATGTCAGTCACGGATATATACAGCCCAACGGATTTGGCTACAGGAGCTCAGCATCGTTCAATAAAGCCCATCATCAAACAAACACGCAGGCAGTGTCCACTTTAGGAATCGAACATAGTGGCAACCACGATAAGTTGTCAAGGGTTTTTGGAACGATGTGCGACATTGAAACGGGCTGCTGAGGCGGGTAGGCTGTGGTCTTGCCGTCCAAGATCCTCCAAGCGTTTGCAGGGCTGATTCCTTCGAGAAACTTGTGACCTCTGTCTCCGATACCCTGAGACATATAGCAGAGAGTGTGTATATCCCTCGGTGCAAAGGTCTGCGCTGGTGGCATCTGTGAGGGAATGATGTACTGGACCTCAGCGCTCCGGGCTATGCGTCGGACGCGGGCTGTCTGCGACAGCGAGGCTCGGCTGCCAGAAGACGAAAATCAGACCCATCAACATCCCCAAGGCGGGCTCAGTGAGCAGCCGGTTCTGCACTTCGAAAGATGTTACAGTTGAGCACGCCCTGAGATCAGCTATAAGTTCTCGCGCACCTTCAACTGGATCCCACACGTCGAGCTGGCATGCTTGAGCGGAGCAGGTCTTTTGCCGCTTTGGTTGATAGGTGTGCTCGTGGTGCTTATGCTGGCTTTGAAATGGCAAAGGTGGTAACGGTGGTAGCGGTGATGGGGTCTTGTTGGTGCTGTGCTGCTGCTCCATTACCTGCAGATCGTCGTCAGTTTGTGTCCGTGTCCTTCGTCGATAGAGTCGCATTCGAGTGGCCTTGCATCGCTCCACGGCCCAGGTCGGTCCAAGCGCACGACACGTTATAGCTTACGGCAGGGACCTTTGCTTCGACTTGGCTCGCTGTTGTCTCGTTTGGATCTCCAGCCCAGGCCTGATGGTTCTACCAGCTGCGGTCAAAGAAGCCGGCAGGGAGGCCGTCGGCCCTCGCAACTCACGGCTGCACAGTTTGGCACACGAAGCGAAGGCGCAGCAAATGGAGAAAGCTTTGGAAGCGAATGGCACCAATCAGCTGAGCCCTCGGAGGGCCCTCGGACTTTGTCTCAAGGAGCTCAGGCTTTGGGCCTTATTTTGCGAAGGTCGCAACCCTTGCAAACGATGGCCGAAGACTTTCAGAAGATCTTTCAGCCTGAGTGCAGCTCCAAACGGGAGAAGTGCTTTTGCGGTCTACGCCTTGCCTGCCTTGCTGGCCTTGCACGGCATCTCAGGCAGAGCCGCCGACTGCAGCAGAAACCTTTTCAGACTCCTGCCGGGGTGGGCGAAGTGAAGCGAAGTGTCGCAGTAAGCTCGACTTCCGTGTAGACCGTGCCAGGGTGAATTCAGGGAAGAGACGCTGGACGACATGGAGGCGCACCATTCCAAAGTGGAGGGCTGCATTGCGAGCCAGGGTTCCTCTAGGGTTTCGAGTTTTGTAGTTGACTGCAAGACTGAGCCCACATCACTGTCACCCTGACAGGATGATTGGAGCCACTTGCTCAGCAATGTCCCGCTCAAGCCATAAGAGCATCAGAGAGCGAAACGCAGTACGAGGCAAGCATGGTGCTTTTGACGAGATGGTCGCCTCGGTCCAAGTTTCCTGGAAACTGATTTAAGCAATCTTGCGTCTCCTTCGCGACCCTTCTCTGCGTGTCTCTGCGTACGGTTCAGAGTTCGGAGGTGCAGATCACCGAACCCATGCACTATCCGATAACGGACGAAGCTCGATGCCCAGCTTTGTGAATATGTCCTCCGCGAGATGCTTGGAAAACTTAAATGCTTGAGCAGAGCAGGCAACCAGCTGGTGCAAAAACGCCCGATCCGAGCCATACGTCAGGTCATGGAATACCTGTTGGCCGCGGATGCTTTTCGCGGGCTAGAGGCGAGTGCAAGCGGTTCTGAGACGTTGATTTGCCTTGTCGTTCAAGCTGGAGGACGGTCGAGAGGCAACGCATGGTCTCTTACTCGACAATTTGATCTTGCAGGCTGCAAATAGTGCAAGTGGCCCATATGTAGCTCTACCCAGGTCCAATCAAGGTCATTGGCTACGAGCTGCTGCACTCTCCAGGGGCTGTAGAAAAGAAGGCCAAAAAACACTCGAAGGCGCAAGAATGAAAATGCACGTCCCGCGCAGCCGCAGCACTGCTGCAAGTTTCAATCAGACCAGGTGAAGGAGACGAGCCCTTCCCAGCAGAGAGCACCGCGGACCACCCAAAGACTGTCAGAGGCAGATGTGATTTGTGCCTTCGGACAAGTCCATGCATGTAAACACATTACAATTGCGAGGCAGATTCGCAACTCTGGGATGCGGCGCGCAGACACACACCATCTCAAGGAGAGCTCGCAGTGGTGCATGTCGCAGACCCTCTTGTCATTACCGAGACAGTGTGAGGTGCGGTGCCACTGCGGACAGGCCTCGGCGAGCCCCTCAAGACTCAAGAGAAGTTTGGAGAGCGGACATTTGTTCACAGGCTTTCAATTTGCAGGACTCTGTGCCGTAGCAGCGGCACTTGCTTCGTCGCTGTGCGTGGCCTTACTCGCAAGGGGCAGACGAGGCGCGACTGGCAAAATGGCCGGGAAACGAGCCAGCAAGTGCAGTTTGGCTGCCTGCTGAACCGTTTTTGAAGGCTACTCAGCTTTGTCCTCACAGAGTGAAGCGAGTGAAGCGGCTTCCGCTTAGCATAAGGACTTCGGCTCCTGCAAATGAATTTTTCTTTCCCGTCTCACACCTTCAAATCTTTTGTAATCAGACTGTCCCAGAATGGTATGGTTCTGCTGAGTTTGCCGCCGACGTGCCGGCAGTTAGGACGTGCACCCGTTCCAAAGCACCAGTAGCCAATGGCAAACCACTTAGACTCTCAGGCGCCTCGTGCGATGAACATTCCAGGTTCCACAGTTGTGTATGCAACGGGGGTCAACGGGTCCTGGCTTTCAAGCCAAAGTTGTCCAGATGTTTGCCAGTAATTTAGAATTTGCCAGCAGAGCAGTTTTTCGCACGCCGACCCTCGACTTCGTTCAAGCGCGGAAGAGAGGAGCAAGGAATTGCACTGTTAGGTTTAGGGTTTGACTCCTTCCGTTTGACCCTGGGATAGGGATCAACAAAAATGAAAAAGTATCGACAATAAAACGGATCAATTAATTAAAAGGATCAAACACAAAACACAAGCTTAATTACGGGCTAGGGGCTTATGGGCTTCTTGGTTCCCTGGTCCTCTGGTTCCCCGGTCCCCTGGTCCTCTGGCCCCCCGGTACCCTACTGCTACTAGAATTCCTACTACTCCTATGTAATACTCTTCTATATGTTATTCTATATTCTATATTATATAATTGTTACTTGAAGTTTCCGAGGCCCCTAGGCTCACGAGGTCCTGGGCCTTTCACAAGAATCCTAGGGACGCTGCTGTCCCCTTTTCCTTCGCCAATGGAAAGTGCTCGAGAGTCCCACCCTTGGGGTGATGCCACGGCCGCGGGCAAAGGTTGTGCAAGCGTGAGCCGTGCAGAAACCATGTTTGTGGAACGAACTTCACAAAAGGGGGCGGTGATTACGCCATGTGCTCAGCTCGTTGTTTTCCACAGAATTGAACTGAAGAATCAAGGAATTGAAAGTAGGTAGGTCGTTCAAAAGCCATCCGAAGGTGCATATTCTAGGGGCTGCGCCCAGGTGCGGGCAGCGCAGGTAGAAGCCTGAAGCCGCCCTTGTGTTTTCCCGTCCCCCTACGCTCTTAGCCCTCGTCGACCCTCCATGTAGCCCGCACCCGCCCTCTGCCGAACCCCGCTGATGCTCATGATGCGCGCCCTTTTGGGGCTTCCCAAACCAATTCAAAACCGGACAAAGCATAGCCAAAACATCGCCTCCGACCAAAAGGCCGGTTGCGGGCGCCCGAAGGCTCATGATGCTCGCCGGCTGGCCTCCGCGCGGCCCGATGGAGAAACGAAGGTCCGATGAAGCAGGGTCGGCGGCGGGTCGGCGGCACAGGCGGTCGTGGCTTTGGCTTCGCAGAAACTCCCTCCTTCGGCTGAGCTAAGCTCAGAACAGTGTCGCCGATGACCTGGTAGGTGGTCACGGCCGGTACTGATGTAGAAGACGACTATGACGAAGCGAGGCCGGCATGGTCTGGGACCCGTTCGACCCGGCAGCCGGGGTTGTAGCGCAAATGTGCCGGAACCGGGATCCACTGATTGGTACAGCACGCGCATGGAGTGCGGACTTGGATCCTCTTGTCGGTGCGGCTCTGTGCGCAGTCCTCGCTCACGTGCCAAACTCGTCCATGGGGCGTGAAGTAGAGGTCACCGGCGTGGTGTCGCCGGCGTGGTGATAGCTCAGCCGGTTGGCGGTGTGGTAGTCAATCAAGCGTTGTTGAGCTTGGACGGCCGCAGCAGGCCGGCGGTTGTAGTCACGGACCGCGGCCAGATCGAGGTGAAGAGACTCGAGTGTAGTGTGGCTGCTGCCGGTTCAAGAATGTTCGCGTCTCCGGGGAGATGGAGCTGGGCACATAGCGTCAGTCTGGGTCTCCTCGGTGTACACGAAAGGTTCCTCCGTCTGGGTGGCAGCGTCCTCCCGACAGGGGGCGGTTCGAAAACCGGACAGGTGCTGGATCCAAGTGGCAAAGGGCCACGGTCGGAGGTACACAAGGAAGAGCCGACGAGCAGGATCAGGAAGATGTAGGGGCCGGCGTCGACATAGGTCTCGGCGACCAGGCGGTACACCACGAGGGCCGGGTTCAAGTCAAACGCAAGCGCCGGTGGAAGGCAAGGTTGCGGCGGCAGCAACCATAGCTGCAGCGGCCTTCGGCCTCGCAAATTGGTTCGCGCTCTGCGCGCGCTCGGTAGCTTTCTTCTTTCGGCTGGCCTGGTAGGACTCGTCGGCGGTGATCTTGTGAAGGTGGGTGCGGAGTCGGTCAGCCAAGAGTTGGGTGGCCGAGTCCCTTGTCAGTCCATCCGCGAACTGAATCGGGCCTCACCGCCGATCTCTCGGAGTTTGTCCCTTGTGACCAGGGCCTCCAGGCACGTCCTCTTGTCCGCCGCATTGGAGATGTAGAGCTCCTCGCGGTGGAGGATGTCATAGAGGCACTTGGCATCGGTGACCAAAACACAAGGATTGGGCCAGGTGAAGCACCCATCGGATCCATTGATGCGGTAGTCCTTGTCAAGAATGGCTCACCAGAAAGTCACCACAAACTGCAGGTTGAAGGAGCGCCAGTCGAGGAGGTGGTAGTGGCGCGTCGATCCTGTGAGGATGGACTTGTGGGTAGCCTCGACGAACTCTGGGTGCGTCACATAGTCCATACAATGGCTTCCTCGTGTTCATAAGAACTCGAGCCGGTGATGCCGAGTAGTTGTCGGGCATAGCCGGAAGGCGGATCCAAAGTGTCCGGGAGGCGGCATCCTCCTTTCCTTGGAGGCAAGCGGTGGTGATGTCCGCGATGAAGGTATCCCAGCCCAGGGTCGCCAGGGACATCAAAGTGGTCCGCCCAAGTCTAGACAAGGTCGGGCTTGCCGAGTCCACCAGAGAGGGGACGGTTGACAGGCTGAGGCGGCGGAGGGCCGCACAGCGGCTGTCCAGGCGTAGCAGGGCCCGGAAAATTGCGGTGGTTGTGGGGCATCTCGGCCACAGGGAACTGGCAGGAGATTGTGACCCAGCTACTCCAAAAAGTAGCGGTGGCCTGCAGTCGTCATCATCGGTCGATGTACACAGTGGTGTCGCCGTTCTGGACCTTGCGGATCATCGAATGCAGGGCCGGCGTGTCGGCAGCCGTGGTGTCCGTCCAGATCCCGACGGACATGTTCCGGGGCCGTGTGCCGTGCACGAGCCAGTGCACGTTGGGCGGCTGACCAGGGCCCCGCTTTGACTCAGTGAGGGCTGGTCCTTTCCAGCGAGTGCGGAGGGCGGTACCTGCTGCTTCACGCCAGTAGAAACATCTCTGCATCCGGGGAGGGTCGCCGCAGTGTTGGAAGATCATTTCTTGTGTTGGAAGGCTGATATCAGAGGACCCACTGTGTTTGTTGGACTGACGCCGCCGACACAAAGCGTCTGGTTCAGCTGAGGAACCGCGAACGACAAAGCCTCAATGAGGCTTTCGGTGCCACAGTCGGCAGTCGGTGGGTGGTCCTCCAAGTAGAGTTCCACAGCTCGGCGCGGAGAACCTGATGGCGTCGCTCAAGTTGCGCCAGCCTCCGCGTCACCAGGTCAATCCCATGTGTGCTCGGTCGTGTACCGCATCACCTCATCATTATTCACTACCCCAGGCGCGGTGGCTGTCGACAAGGAGGTTCGTGGGAGGACCGAAGATGTGGACCCAGCCTGTTTCCAAGGCTCGGCTGAGGTTTCTCTTCGAATCACTCTGGCCGCCACGTAGCGGGTAAGCCGCATCCATCGTAGTCAGCACCGGGGTGGTCTTGTCCAGCTCGGGGGGTGGTGCGGAGAGGAGTCTTGGGCACCTGAACAGGGGGTGCCAGCTTCCTGCACGTTCGAAACTGGTACTCCGGCCGTCTCTGTCACCAGACGACTGCCCCACTTTGGGCCAAGACGATCTTGAGGTCCCTGTTGCTGGGGTGTGACCCAGGTTCCGGTGTAGCCTGGCAACGATGCGTTGTGCTTCGGCATTCGAGTTTGCGGAGGCACCAGTGAGCTTGTTGGAGGTCGGCGCTGGGGGTGTTTGTGGTGCATCAGGTTCATGTACTCCGGGAGGCTCACTCGTACTCCTCCATGTCCAAGTCCACGTCAGAGGCCGGTGTGGCCTCTTCAATAGTCGCGTTGCCGGACACGAAGTGGGCGTAGTAGGCGCCTTGAAGGGCCTCCGCAATCAGGACACACATGCTGCTGATACTCAGCAGCAGGCCGGGCCCTTGACCCATCATGGAGCATGTTCCTATGACCGACTGGTGCCGGTGGGCACCGTCACAGCGGTAGACGCCCAGCGTCTCTGCCAGAAGACCATGATTGATCGCACGGCGCGTGGTCTTCTGAATCGGAGCCATCTCGCCTTGCTTGTTCGGGAGACAGCGCCGAGGGCGCATTGATCGACGATTACCTCAAGTCCCAGGTGGTTCAGAGCCGGCGTACTCCATGCCTTCGAGCCACGAGGGTGCTCGATGACGGCGATGATCCGGAGTGGGGCCATACGAAGAAAAAGCTCCTCACGAACTTCAGGTGCGTGTGGTGGTGGTAGTCCCGCGTAGCATGGAGGACTTCGAGGGCCTCCGGACTGCGGCTTGTGAAGTTCTGCAACGGTGACCATTTGCCCCAGTCGTCTGGCTTCTTGTTGTCCACTTGGCTCATCGCCAGTTGTCGCTGCTCAGCGGTGAGTGCAGCCCTTCTCAAGAGCAGCCATCCACCAACCGGATCGGGGAGCTTGACGTCATGTCGCTCCAATTCTCTGTGGTCGGAGCAGTACTGGATCAGGGTCTGACCACACTTGGCCGGACAACTCCATAGAAGAAGCGCTCAAAAGCCTTTGGCCTTTGGCATTTCGGCCCGTCTGTCGTACTGATACACACGATCCAGCTCCTGCAGCACGAGGTTGAAAACGTTCTCGTCATCCGGAGCGGAGTCAGCAAGGTGCTCGACCTGCTTCCACACAGGGCCAGCAAGGGAGGTCAGCAGGTTGATCGTCGCCTCAGCCTTCTTGTTCGCAAGAGACATCTTCTTGAAATACTGCGGTACTCCTTGTAGGAGCTCGGTTGCCAGTCGAAGACTGGGATGTAGTGATCCCGCACGATGGGTTGGAAGAGGAGGTTGCCGAGGACACGCCATCTCCTTTTCCTCTTCCAGGGTTCTGGCCTCCATGTCCGCCCATTGCAAAGGAAGCCCTGGAGTCAGGTCGTTGCCTGCTCCGCTACCAACTTGACTTTTCCAGAGGCCCCTAGGCTCACGAGGTCCTGGGCCTTTCACAAGAATCCTAGGGACGCTGCTGTCCCCTTTTCCTTCGCCAATGGCAAGTGCTCGAGAGTCCCACCCTTCGGGTGATGCCACGGCCGCGGGCAAAGGTTGTGCAAGCGTGAGCCGTGCAGAAACCATGTTTGCGGAACGAACTTCACATGTTGTATATATATATATATATATATCCACATAAAATTATACAATTCGCACTTACGTATATTATGTTTTCGTATATTGTATCAGATGACATTATATTATATCACCTTAGGTTATATCCTTCTTTACTACAGTCTGTTGCAATATATCACATTATATGATGTGATATTATATCCTATTGTATCGCCATTTTCTAAGCTGAGCAAGGTCGCCTACGAGTATCATCCTGCTAACAAAGACAACCCATATAGACCCTCTCAGAACCCGTCAATAAGACGTTGTGTTTGCAAATTGGGGGGCTGCCCCCCCCCTAACCCCCTCTCTTTTTCTTTGCAACGCCGTGCAGGCTTGCTTTCAAAAACATCACAGCATGAACAAGACTTGCGCCAAACACAAAATTGTTTTAGAACCTTTCAAAACTCATCATAGAAGGCATTCTGCTTCCAATTGGGGAGGTGCGTCCCCGTTCTTTTAAGCTGTGCAATATCGCTTCAGGTATCATCCTGCCGGCAAAGACAGAACCCATATGAACCATCTCAGAACCTGTGATAAAGAAGTTGTGTTTGCAAGTGGGGGGGGGGGACTGCGCCCGCCCCCAACCCTCGCTTTCTATTTAAGCCGCGCAGGCTTGCTTTCGAGAACATCGCACCATGAAAACGGCTTGCATCAAACACGAAACTGTGTTAGAGCTTTTCAAATCTTCAAAACTCATCACAAAGGCATTCTGTTTGCAAAAGGGGGGTGCGTCATTGTCTTAACTTATGTTATGTTACGATATGTTATGTTGTTTTTGATTTTGTTGTATTACATTTCAATTTGTGTCGAAGTATATTATCTTTTAGTAGATTGCATTATGTTTTACGATATCATATCACATTATATGCTACTATAATACGTTTTAGTAATTCATATGAACCTATATTTGTTATTTTGTTTTCGTACATTATACTATATTTTCGTGTACCCAAAATATATCATATTATATCAAGTTTCGTTTATATATAGTTCTAGATGATACCGTAAAATATCAGAGTATAATGTATTGTATTATATCATATTGTATTATAGTGTTATTTCTTATATTGTACTATCTCATAATAGATTATATATTATTTTAATATTTGTCGTCGTCGTGTTGGTAGTAGGAATAATAGCAGCAGTAACACTGCAATATTCATTCCCCACGCAGCGGACGTAACCACCTAGCGAGAAGCACGGACTCATGCCGGAGCTCCTCTGGAGCTCGATGCTGTGCCCTTGGGCCGCAGCATCTGCCAGTTGCAACAAACATACGGCTATTGCGCATGTTGCTATAAACAGTACCAATCGGCGTCATCACGATTACACTCCCATGGAGGCTATGCCAGTGTGTACCTGGCTTGTGCAGCGTCGTAGCACAAAGATGCAGGGCCACGAGTCACGGGCAGCATGCTGAGATAGTGCAGGGCCAAAGGGCAACAGCAGATCGTTGCACATTTTGCGATGCGCTGCATGATAACTGCTGCGGTCATCAGAAGTCGTTCGTAGATTGATGGAGCGAACCTCATATAGGCAGCAGTAGGATGGACCATGCAAAGGTTCGATGCTTAAGGAGTGAACCTCCCCAGCTTTTGCGAACCATGAAGAAAGCTCAGCCGACCCATCGGACGTGTCGGAACCTGTCTCGTGGTCATAGGCATAAGCATACAGAGTGCAGGGCGCTGTGCGAAGCACCGGCCTAAGCGAGCATGCACCCCATCCTCGCAGACAGCCTGCAGCACAGGAAGGTAGTGCCGTCAGCATGAACGGCATGGGCATGGTCAGGGTAGCCTCCACTTGAGTGGGGTTGTCATTCCCCGTGTTTGCACACCATTCCCACGGACCTGTCGAAGTAGTGGCAGAGAGCTGTTGAAGCAGGTATTGGAGCTGAGTACGCAAGAAAGGGGCCTGTAAGGTGGTTGGTATGCCCCCGGCTACGGTGGACCATAGAAGATCTCCTCGCAGTGACACTTGAGTGGCAGCACTTGTGCAGATCCTATGCCAGAGATGTTTGAGCAAACCGTGTTCAGACTCGGACCTGGCAGCATCACACCAGAAAGGCCACAAGAGACACTGTAGAACCTGAGATAGGCCCGCGATTCCATCGCGAACTTCCCACTGTGACAAGTTGTGAGGGGGTATGGGGATGGCAGGTTTGAGGGATTTATTAGCCCGATCTGCAGCTGGGGTACCGTCAGAGCGCTTCACCAGCCTCGAATGGCTTTGGCTTGCTGAGACAGTCCGCCGCGTTCTCGTCGGAGGCGGCATCCCATTGTTTGCAGAGCCGCGCAACCGATCCAGGAATGAAGGATTTCCCATACCCGATTCCCCATGTCCCGCGTGCTGATCTCGATTGCCAGCTGGACCCAAGCAGTCTGCGGTGCCCGACTTAGCCCTCGGAGGGACTGAAGCCTGAATAGATTCTCCTCCGTGATGATCTTCCGAAGCTCCACGGATTGTGCTATCAGGTCCTCCATGTTGTGTAGCTTGCCGCCCGGCTTCCCCTGCAGATCCTGAACGGCCGGATTCCAGATCAGCGTCTTCCATTGGCCTTGATCCGTCAGCCAGCCAAGCTCCTTGGCCTTCTGCGTGGACTCCGGCTGATCCTTTGTCGACTTCAGACGCTGGCCTAGCTCGATCAAGAATGCCTTCATCATGACTAGACGCAGAGACTCGTCCGTGAGGGAAGGGCCCGTGATTCGTAGCATGCCACTTCTCCGATGTGGCAAACAAGATCGGTATCAGGCCTTCGTCCCCCGGCTTCACGAAGAGATAGAGCGTGTGATCTTGCATCATGCAGTTGATGGCATACTCGTGCTTGATGGCCAGTGTGGACAACTTCTGGACCAGATCCGGCAGGCTGTATTCTGAATGCCACCATGAGTCCTGGCCCCAGCCAGCTGAATGACGGCCCCAAGTGCCCCATTGACCTTTCCCTGTCGCCTTGCCCTTGTTCTTGCCTTTGCCTTTTGACTGAATTCGATTCTCCCTCGCTGCGGTTCTTATCGGTATCTGGGCCTCATCTCCGCGGTTCTCGTCGAAGTCCTCATCACCATCGGTCGCGAAGCAGAGCTCGGCATCCTCGGGCAAAAATTGGAGAACCTCGGTCGAGGAGAGGTGGAAGTTTTCGATCTGGGAGTACAAGGTCACCTCCTTCTTAATTGTTTCCTTCATCACGAGCCTGGGGGCATTCTCGCTTCCAGTGACCCTTCTTTCCGCACAGCTGGCAGTTGCTCGAGGCAATGCGTTCTGCTAAGCTGCGGAGTCGACCACCGTCGAAGGCACTTCCCTTCTGCTGACGTGTCCCGCTCTTGCCTTTTCCGCGGCCTTTTCCACCCGTCGGAAAATATGCGCGGTTGCGAGCTTTCTCCCTCAAACACTGGCCAGCTTCTTGGTAAGTGGCGAAGACAGGAGCTAGAGATGATTCCTGCACTGCATCCACGATGTGGTCCTCAAACTCCGCGATGTAGATGGCATGCTCGTCGTTCTGCTCCATGAAAAGGCCACGATCTCCTCATCACTCGGCTCGCTCTCTGGCACCACGGCCACGTGAGCCTCATCAATCCCTTCATCTTCGGCCAAGTTGATGTCGTACACTTTGTTTCGTTCTTGGCCACGAGCACCTGCAGCAGCCGCACCACGATTTTGTAGCTCCCCAAAGAACCGGGACCCGAGGAGGCGCACTGCCTTTACGGTCCCTGTGTAGGTCAAGTCGCCACCCGCTTCCACGATGACCTTCCGTTTGTTCTCAGGGCTCAACATGGAGTGCCGCAAGCGCATATGCTCTGACCTCCTCCAGCTGAACGCTGCGAGAGATCAGTTCCTCGAAATGAGCATCATGCCGAGCAACATACGAGTAGTTTGATTCATCACTCTTGTGCTGGGTCTGGAAGATCGTCTGCTCAACATAGAAGTACTTGTCTTCCACCGTTGTACGCCCCCCCCCCCCCATGCACCACCCAGCTTTTCCACGAGAATTTTCACACCATCTTTGCTCTTGAGTTTGTCCGGCTGAGATCCGGCTCACCTTCTGCTCGGCAGACCCTTCGACCATTAGAGCTGCTCTGGGACCAAGCAAGTGAATTTGCTCATCTGGCCACAGATCCCTAATGAACTGTAATCTTTTGGTGTACTCATCAACGTTCGTACTTCCCGGCGTGAACTTAGGAATCTGCTGCCAGGGGAGGTTGCTCAGCGCTCCACCGACTGAACTACCTGCTGCTTCCGTCCCTTCACTAGCCATGGCTCGACGATTCTGGACCTATCCTCTCGGATCTGGAATCCCCTGTTTACACAGTGTCCACCTACACTATGACTATGACAGGCCGGGCTCCGCTACCAATGTGGAAATTGTAACCCGGACCTGCCCCTAAACCCTATGAACCCCTTGTGGAATGTAGGCCCCCGGCCTCTGAATGCAGAAAGGTCTTCCCCGAAGACGTGTCGAATGCTGAAGCATGCCCACAGGCTGAAAAGAACTCTGAAAGGACCCCGTCATCAGAAGTGGTAGCCCTGACCTTGTCAACTGATTTCTCAAGCACGACCGCAACCCTCCCTCCTCGGTGCTGCGAAGGGCGAGGCACACAAGACAGCTGTTCCGGAAACCTGCTTCACAAGTGTCGGTTTAACAAGTAGTAGTGGTAGTAGCCGTAGTAACAGTAGTCGTCGTTGCCGCGTTGGGATGCGCATTTCGTCCCCACGTTCGAGTGTTTGCAGCGGATCCGTGCGACAGC